CTCTTTCTTCTCTCTTCTCCCTCTCTCTCTTCTCTCTCCCTCTCTCTCTCTCCTCTCTCTTCTCTCTCTCTCGTCTCTCTCTCTCTCTCTCTCTCTCTCTTCTTTTCTCTCTCTCTCTCTTCTCTCTCTCTCTCTCTCTCTCTCTCCTCTTCTCTCTCTCTCTCTCTCTTCACTCTCTCTCCTCTCTCTCTTCTCTCTTCTCCTTCTTCTCTCTCTTCTCTCTCTCTCTCTCTCTCTCTCTCTTCTCTCTCTCTCTCTCCTGCCCCCCACTTCTCTCTCTCTTTGCCCCCCCCCCTCTCTCTTCTCTCTCTCTCTCTCTACTTTCTTTCTCTCTCTCTCTCTCTCACTCTTTCTCTTCTCTCTCTTCTCTCTCTTCTCTCTCCTCTCTGCTCTCTCTCTCTTCTCTCTCTCTCTCTCTCTCTCGCTCTCTCTCTCTCTCTTCTCTCTCTCTCTCTCTCTCCTCTTCTCTCTCTCTTCTTCTCGCCATCGGCTCTCTCATCTCTCTCTCTCTCTCTCTCTCTCTCTCTCTCTCTCTCTCTCTCGTCTCACTCTCTCTCTTCTCTCTCTCTCTCTCTGTCTCTCTCTCTCTCTCTCTCTCTCTCTCTCTCTCTCTCTCTCTCTCTCTCTCTCTCCTTTGCCCCCACTTTCTCTCTCTCTGCCCCCCCCCCCCCTCTCTCTCTCTCCTCTCTCTCTCTCTCTCTCTTTTCTCTCTCTCTGACTCTTCTCACTCTTTCTCTCTCTCTCTCTCTCTATCTATCTTCTCTCTCTCTCTCTCTCTCTCTCTCCTCTCTCCCTCCTTCTTCTTCTTCTCTTCGATTCTCTTCTCCTTTCTCTCCTCCTTCTTCATTTTCCTCCTTCTCCGTTCTCTGTCATCATTTTTCCTCTCCTCCTCTTCATCCTTTTCTCCTCCTTCTCCTCTTCATTCTCTTTTCTTTTTCCTCCACCTTTTCATTTTTTCCTCCTTCTTCCTCTTCCTCTTCATTCTCTTCTCCTTTCTCCTCCTCCTTCTTAATCTTTTTCTCCCTCCCTCCTCTTCATTTTCTTTTCTCCTTCTCTCCTCCTCTCATCATTTCTCCTTCTCTTCATTCATTCTCCTCCCTCCTCCTTCTCTTCATCCTTTCTCCCATTCTCCTCCTTCTCCTCACTTGCCCTCAGAGTACCTCCCTCCTTTGGGGTTTATGCACCATTCTCGGCGCTCTCTTTTTATTGACGCACTCACGTGCAGTGTGCACGTGCTCTGGCACCCCCACGTTACACACGCACACACGCACGCACAGACGCACACACCCGCCGCGCACATCCAGCTTCACGCCCCCACATGCCATAGCTGCCATACATAGGTGTTCATAAGCACACGCAGAATTACATTCTCTCGCACCGATATTCGTGACGTACAAATCCAGGTTCCCTTTTCCAAAATGAGTGTTATTACACTTTCAGAGATATAAACCATTAAAGCCTTCCTCTAAAGCCAATGGTGCGTAGAGGAAAACGGAGCCTTATATTCAATAGGCGACTGAGGTTTAATGGAGCACATGGCAAAATTCTTCCTTACATTTAATGTATGTTATGCGACACCAGTCACTCAGTAACACAGAGTTGCATTCATACTTCAGTAATAATATTTAATTCATCGGTTACGTTTCACAAACAAAAAACCCGATTACAAGAATTACTTAATCCGAAAAGAGCAATAACTGAGAGGAGGGGAAGGAGAAAAAGGTTGGCAGCAGGGGAAGTTTGGAAATTTAATGAATTAGATTTCATAGGGAATTTCTGTAGGAACATATATAGTACATTACATAATAGATGTGTGTGTGTTGTGTGTTGGGATGTAAGTGTGTGTGTGTGATGATGTAGAGTAGTGTCTGTGTGTTGTTGTGTGTGTGTGTGTGTGTGTGTGTGTGTGTCGTGTGTGATTGCTGTGGTGTGTTGCCGTGAGTGTGTGTGATGCGAAAACAAAAAAACAATCAAAATGTGTGTGTGTGTTTGTTGTGTATTTCAGGGTGTGTGGGCAATAAGAATACACATATAGATACTTAGCAGAACCACAACCACGAAAGAAAAACACAACATATTTTCCGCAAAACTAATCTTTGCCAGAGGTATTCCCGCACACATCAAGCGAGTCATAACGAGGCCGGAGTACGCGAGCGAACGACTCCGGTTTCCGAGTCATGCTTCGAATCCTCGTCCACGTGAAAACGCCGGGAGTCGAACTTGTGAACTCGGGGGGAGACGAATCTGGGCGCAGGCCGGTAGAGGGCTGGGAGGGGGGCGGGGGGGGGGGCGAGGGGCGCCCAAAGCAGCAAAGAAAGGCACCTTTGCATCTCAAAAATACCCCCGAGTTGTATGTATTGAGGCCGAGTTAATCCTTCTGGGTCCGGGTATTATGTACGCGAAAGGGAAGATTGAAAACACGTTTTGGATGGGGGAAGTCGAGGAAAATTGCAAAGCCTTTCTCCATTGAGAAGGCGAGAGGTTGGTCTTATTTCTTAATCTAAATCGCTCCCCTTCTCTTTTTTTCTGTTTGACTTTTTCTTCATTCCTCTTCTCTCTCCTCCTCTCCTCTCTCTCTCTCTCTTTCTCTCTCTTCTCTCCTCTTCTCCTCTCTCTCTCTCTCTCCTCTTCTCTCTCTCTCCTCTCATGTTATTCTTCTCTCTCTCGTTCTTCTCTCTCTCTCCTCCTCTCTTTTTCTCTCTCTCCCCTCTCTCCTCTTCTTTCTCCTCTATTCTTATCTATTCTATTCTAATTCTATCTATTCTATCTAATTCCTCTATTCTATCTTATCTATCTATATATATAATCTATCCTCTATAGGTATTCTCTCTCTCTCTATGTTTTCTATTNTATATAGAGAGAGAGAGAGAGAGAGAGAGAGAGAGAGAGACAGACAGACAGACAGACAGACAGACAGAGACAGAGAGGGGGGAGGGAGAGGAAGAGAGACAATGATGATAATAATGATGGTAATTTTGATGAGGATAGTAAAAAATAATGCTATTATGCCATCACTACTACTACTACTAAACTCACGAGAACAGTAATAACGACAAAATATTCCGCCTGAATCTAAAGTGGAAAACGAAAGATGAACTGGAAACAGTCAGGCAGAAAATGCAAGTCACGATTCAACATCTCATTTTACCTTATTGTGCCAGTGATTACGGGATTATTATCTTTAATCAACGTGAGAAAATAAACTTGCTCGCCGATTAATGGATTTTCATAATCTCATTAAAAGTACGAAGTCGACGATCTGTCAAACAAGTCGACGAAATACCATAGGGAAAGGCGCCATTTTGTTTTTGTTGATATTGCCCCAGGCCAGTACGATAAACGTGTCTTTTACGGATTGGTTCCGGTTGGAAGATACTGGCAAATTTGGAAAGAGATAACGCTTATCTCGAGGAATTTGCTTTATAAGCCTCTTTCCGGATGGGATGAGAAAGCGCTCACGGCGAGCGGGGTCAAATAAATACTGTTTTGGGAAAATATAATATTGTTTCAGAAGGAGTGACCAGGTCAAGGAGTTTACTTATCTAACATTGCCCGAAGTGGGCGGGGGGCGTTGTGCCGGAAATTAGGTACAAAGTTGAAAGAAAAATAGAAAATCGGTAAGGAATACCGTTAACTAGTATCATCTTGCAGTGCTCTCTCTCTCTCTCTTTCTTTTTCTTTCTTTGAAGACGAACTCGGTCAAAGGACATCTATCGCGAGCTGTCGTCTGCCCTTATCTCTCGTTTTCTCTCTTTCCAATATTCTTAATTTGGCATTTTTAGCATTAGTATTTTGAATGATTTGTATAAATTGCCTGTAACTTATCTTCTGAAAATATCAATGTGTGTGATCAGGTTTCTCCTGGTCTTTCGTCTTTCACACTCGAGGTTCGTTATTTCGCCTCTCTCTCTCTCTCTCTGTTTCGCTCTCTCTCTCTCTCTTTGTCTCTTTCTCTCTGTTTCGCGCTCTCTCTCGGTCTCTCTCACTCTCTCTCTGTTTCGCTCTTCTCTCGCTCTCTCTCGGTCTCTAGCTCTCTCTCTTTCTCTCCCTGTCCCTCTTTGTTTCTCTCTCTCTCTCTGCCTGTCTCTCTTTGTTTCTCTCTCTCTCTCTCTCTCTCTCTGTCTCTCTGTCTCTTTTTGTTTCTCTCTTCTCTCTCTCTCTCCCTCTTTGTTTCTCTGTATCTGTTTCGCTCTCTCTCGGTTTCTTTCTCTCTTCTCTCTTCTCTCTCTCTCTGTTTTTTTCGTTATTTTTTGTTTCTCTAATTCTCTCCATCTCTCTCTCTCTAACTAAACCAGTCGTAAAATCGAACGAATTGTAAACACTGTAAACGTTGGACACTTCGATGAATTCCGATTGAATGATCCCAATTCTACATTTCTTTTTTCTCCCTCGTCGAAGAATGTTTATTTTTACTTCCAGAAGCAAGAAATCGAACTGAACTGTATTTTTCGAGTCTGAAAAATCAATTTTGCTGAAATCTAACCAAAAATTGTATTTCAAAGACACGAAGGCGACGTGACACAAAATGTCGACAAGGGATGGCATTTCCGACAAGTTCTTTTTTATAGATTATTCACTTATTCATCATTATTATTTTACGTTACGAAGTGACATGAAACCATACTCACCATTCTCCGTAAAATATTCAATACTTCATCAGTATATGAAAAGAAAAAGAAATTTATGGAAAAAATAATTGGTTCTCGTTTCTTCTCTTGATAAGCTCCTTACCCAGACTCGAAGGACCGAAAGATCCCGCCGGATTCGACCCTCTTGAGGCTCACTGTTTCGAGCAAAACCTTCGCAAACAGACGAGCACAGACGCAGCAGAATGTAGGTGGCCAAGCTCTCGGCCAACGAGTGGAAGTTTCTCCAGAAGGGGAAGGAACTCCGCATCGGGAGGGGCACCTACGGGCGCGTGGTGCGCGTGAGCTACAAAGGCAAGGAGTGCGCCCTCAAGCTGGTCGCCCCCCGTCTCCCAGGTGATGTTCTAGCGCGAGATGGAGATACTGAAGGGGCTGCAGGGCGCGGGGGGAGCGCCCGTGCCCCTGGCGTACAGTGAGGAGCCCTCGCGCCTCCTCATGACGTACCTGGGGAAGGAGACCCTGGCCGACGTCCTGAGTGCACATCGCAGCCAGACGCAGCTCCTGCAAGTGAGCCTGAAGCTGGCGGAGGCCGTGGCGGCGGTGCACGCCGCCGGGATCGTCCACTGTGACCTCAAGCCGACCAACGTGATGGTTCAGCTGCGCGGCGCAGGAGGAGCGTCGTCG